TAAAGAGGAACACAGCTAAGTGACCATGATAAACTGATGGAAGATGATTATCCGTTTGAGTCACTTACCTGGTTTAACAGTTCAATCCATCCCCTCAGGTGAGGTAGGATCCAGCTGATGCACTGCCAACGAGATGCAGTGCAGAAGCCCCAGTTAACAGGCAGGAGTCCAACCCAGGCCAGGCAAACAGCTCAGAACAGAACGGTTCTGAGATCCAGGAGTCCGCAACCCCACAAGGGATTCCGATCCGAACAGAAACAGATTCACGCTCAGACGGAAAGAAGCAGGCACAGCAGTTGAGAGGCAGAAATATGACACGACACCAGGAATACTGCAGAACTTTAAATTAGCTCCGTCCGCTGAGCCAAAACAGGAGCAGGGCACGCTCAATGGACAGGGGCCGGGACATGGTACAAACACCAAGACACGACTAATGACCCTCTCTAACCACTGGCCTCAGAGAAAGAAAACGAGAACTACGGAAAAAACTCAAACTCACACAGATAGAAGCATCATACAATGATCTGGCCCAGATAGCCGGGTTGAGCTAAATATAAAGCAGTAGGAGCTGCTGGATAAGATGAATGATGATTAGTAACCAGTGAGGGCTAGGCTGGTGAGTGAAATGAACAATTAGGTCATCTATCAGGGCCACGATCGTGACATTAAACGGTTTAAGTCATTGTTCTTTATCATTAATTACATCCAAAAGACTTCTAGATGACAATGTGAATACCATGTTTACTTTCTCTTCACAGAAACTATTTCTGAAAAGATTGTGACAAATTAATTACTATATTCTTTTTGTCAGTATATAGTTAATATCCTATGAAGCGAAATATCAAATCAGTTGGAGCATTCCTCTAAAGAGTATTACTGCTGCCACCCCCTGCTTTAGAGGGGAATTGCTTCTATTAGACATGTGAATCACCGATAGGGTCGCCATGGCCACCCCTTGGCCTCCATCTAGCTCCGCCCCTGTCTCTGCAAGGCTATTAAAGCGTTTTTCATGGTTCCCTTTCATGAGCCACAAATGCTACAGGAAGCAGAGAGCTAGAGGGCTTATTGTTGACAAGCATCTTAAAAAATGTTGGTCCAACAAGTGAGGCGAAGCTCCTGTGTGAATTCAAGGAGATTATCTCTTTAACGTATGCTAATGGATGCACACCGAGTAATGAGAGGCTGGTGTTGTTGTGTGACCGTGGTTTCACACCGACACACTCAAACTTTTTCCAAACCATCACAGCCCAACCGGTGAAAAACAACGGTATGCTCTATGGGAAAAGCTGAAGTCCAGGCGCTGCCAAATCTCACTCTCATCACATAAAAGCCCTGCATTGATTTGGACCCCCCTGGCTCATATTCCTGCCTCATTATGTGCTACTGTTTCACTTTTTATCAAATCTCACCCTATGCGGTGCACAGTTTGAAGGTACTTTTTGATGTCATGTTACAATGTGTTTTTCACAGCAATTGCTCTTAAAGGACATCCTGATGAAGAAGGTGGCTACAAATGTCAATCATCAGCAACTGCTGCACCGAGGGACTGAAATGGGGTTTATTAAAATAAAAATCATAAAAGGCAAATGGGTTTTCTACTGGAAGATGTTGTATTCTCTTTCATTCTTTCCTGACTGAGGCCTGTGGAGATGGAGCTCTACTCAGTTTGACTGATTTTCAGAACTAGATGTAATGATGGGGGTAAAGTTTATTTTTTGCAAGTTTATATTTTGTTTCAGGTTACCTTGAAATATCTTTTATAGAGTGAATTTGTTCCAGTTTTGTCGCAAGGAAAGAAAAATTTTGTAAACTGAAATTTGAAAAACACAAGAAATGCAATCTAGAATGAAACTTTGATTTGAATTTTAATTTTAAAAAAAAGTTTT